GAACCTCTTCTAACCGGTTCGGTAGATTTGATGAACTGGTTCTACCGAACTGGTGCGAACTGGCAGGAACCCACCTCAGCTGGACGGGGTGAGTGGGCGGGCGGGGTGGGGCAAGCTGAGTCTTCATCTTGAATTGATGGCCGACCTCTCTGCCCCTCTTACTGACGGATTTCCTGATTGTTGATAAGAACTGCCAAACTCAATCGATGAGAAGAACGAAGGCCAGGAGATGAGGATTTTTTGGGGAAAAGAAAAGTACGGCTCATCTCATTCCTATTTTTTTCTTCTGGTGTTGAGAAACAGAGCATGTTCAATGCACGAGGGGATCAAACCCGTGTGAAATTGCACACATTTCATTCTGTTTTCATAAGGGGTCCTCCAGTTTAGCCTTCCTTCCAGAACTACTGTACTTCAGATCTGGAAAACATCATTGGTTTCTACAAAGAGGGAGCAGAAGATGAGTTGTTTCTTTTAAAGCCACATTATTTTAGAATAGAATAGAATAACAGAGTTGGAAGGGACCTTGAGGGTCTTCTAGTCCATCCCTCTGCCAAGGCAGGAAACCCTACACCACTTCAGACGAATGGTTATCCAACCTCTTCTTAAAAACGTCCAGTGTTGGAGCATTCACAACTTCTGGAGGCAACTTCTGTTCCACTGATTAATTGTTCTCACTGCCAGGAAATTTCTCCTCCGTTCTAAGTTGCTTCTCTCCTTGATTAGTGCTTTTAATTTAATTTTTTAAAATACGTTCTACAAAAGAAGATGGAATGTCCATGTTTTTCTTTCAGGTTTGATTAACGGATGCTTTTTAATCTTGGAAATATTAGCATTTTTAAAGTTAATAAACTTGGGAGAGTAGGTCTACTTTAACTTCACCGTTTCAAAAGCAATTCTTTTTATCCTTTCCAAAATCTGTGTGTAATATGTCACACAGCTGTACTCACTTTGTGGTACTGTATTGCTCCATCATCCATCCACCCGTCCGTCCGTCCGTCCGTCCATCCATCCATCCACCCATCCATTCATCCATTCATCCATTCATCCATTCATCCATCCATTAGTCAGCCAGTCCGATGGTGTATCAATCAATCAGTCAGTCAATCAATCAATCAATTCATTTATATGGTTACCCACTTGCCAGAGCAATTATAGCACCCAAAAAGGCAAGAATAAATCTTATTTTCCTAAATGCAAACTAAAACCAAAAGGTTATAGGACATTTATGGTACACAAAATTGTCTGCTACAACATCCTACCTGTCAATGATTACTTCAGCTTCAACCTCAATAATACTCGTGCAAACGATAGATACAAACTTAAGATAAACCGCTCCAAACTCAACTGCAGAAAATGCGACTTCAGCAACAGAGTGGTCAACGCGGTTCCACCACAAAACCGCGTTCGACTAAACCGCGCTCGACTAAACCGCGTAGCTGACGTCATCAANTCTTTCTTCTCCTTCTCCTCCTTCTCCTTCCCTTTCTTCTCCTTCTCCTCCTTCTTTCCTCCTCACTTCTCCCCACTCAGGAAAACTGACAAGCAGACCTGCTCAAAATTCAAAGCAGCGCCTCTGGAATGCGCTCTGGGTAACTGCCTCCGGTGCGCCGGAAAAATATCCAACTTGGCTTTTGTGGTGTGTTTCTTCTGCCCTCCTGCCGTTCATCCCCCCACCGCTTCAGTTTCCATGCAGAGCGGAGCAGAAGAAGAGCCGCCGTGCCTCTCGAGCCGCCGATTCCGTTTGGAGCCTGTCAACATCTGGAAGGGGAAAGTCAGAGGCGGCAGCGCAGCCGAGAGACACATCTAAAACTGCCAGAGTAATTTGGCATGTCTAGAAAGAAGAGGAGGCAAGAGAAGGGGTGGCGGGGTGGGGAGAAGCAGAGAGAGAGAGAGAGAGAGAGAGAGAAATCTCAGCCTGCAAGTTTCACCACGTGGCTGTGTGTGCAAGTGGTGGGGGGAGGACCCTCCCTACCCACCACCAGGATTAAGGGGAACGGGGTGGGGTGGGGGAAGAAGGTTGGGCATGCAATGAGCTGTTCCTTACTCCTGGCCATTCGACAGCCCAACCTTCTGGGGGAGTGTGGAAGAGGGGAGGGGGGGGGACACACAAGTAAATAGGCTTTCCTCGTGTCAAAAGCGGTTAAAGAGATTAAACGAGGAGCAGCATCCTCATTCCGCTTGCAAAGGAGAAACGAAGCTTTTTAAAAATAAAATAAAATAAAGAGAGAAACATGGCCTTCGAGATAAAAAAATGTTGACTGCAGGGATGACTCACGATAGCAAATTCAAGCTCCCTGCGAAAACCCCCCTCTCCTCCCCTCTTCCCCGCAGCCCCTGGAGCAGTTGGAGTGAACTGTTGAATTGTGATGGAACAGTTGCCAAAAAATGAAGGGCGGCATGTTTTTTTTTTTTTAATAGCAATGGCCGTAGACTTATATACCGCTTCATAGGGCTTTCAGCCCTCTCTAAGCGGTTTACAGAGAGTCAGCATATTGCCCCCAACAATCTGGGTCCTCATTTTNAGGTGGAAAAGAGCAGGACTTGGCAACCCTTCTGAGGCCCGAATCTATGGATTTTGTGTGTTTGTGTCTGTCTGTGTGTGTGTGTGTGTGTGTGTCTGTGTGTGTGTGTGTGTGTGTGTGTGTAGAGCTGCCTGCTTGTCAGCCCCGATGTAGTAAGAAGGACAGAAGGGAAAGCTCATTCTCCACATAACATACCTCAGGAGAACATATCTTAGAAAGGGGGATGAAAGCGACAGCAGCTAATTGCCTCACACAAGCAAGTGAGCAGTTGACTTTTAATCCAGTCTACCTTCCTTAATCATTGTCTCCATCTTCCCCAACCCCCCTCCCCACCTCCTCTCTCCTCCATTTTGTATAACCTTCTTTGGTGGATAACTGGTGGACGCAATGCTTTTTTTATCAGAACTGCACCAGAAGGAGCCGTTTTATTTATTGCTGGCGGTGTTAAATGATGGTTTGTCTTGCATTATTTGGCAGAAGTTGCTCCCCACAAGGCAGATCTGCTTCTTATTTTGTGCTCACAACCTTCAAACTATCACATAGTCTGATCAATCAAATTTGGCTGCTTCCTATCTGGCCATCCTTCTCTCTTTCCCTTCCTGATGAACCACGGTTCCCCCTATCTAGCTAAAGTGGCACCCTTCAAAGCCCCATGAATCTTATCTTCCATAAAATAAAAGTTCAGTACTTATTAGGGTTGATTAAGGGTGGTCTAGATGACCCCACTGTGCCTCGAATGGAAAGCGAAGCAGCCACACTTTCATAACTGAATGGATTTTACATATCAAGGAGCCATTTCCTCCCCTTCCCCTGGATTCTACAGCAACCTTTGTTTTCCTGTCTGTGGAACCATTTTTAAAAATAATAATAATAATATATCACTCTCTTTATCTTCCATCTCTCCTCTGTACCATCCTCTCTTCCTTTTTGATTGACTTTGGGGGTTTTCAGTTTCCCTCTTTTGCCTCTCATCGCCTTTCCTTCAATCATCCTCTCTCCCCTCCCTCCCCAGGACCTCTTTCCAACTGGTACGTTGACACATCTGTTTCTCATTTAGATTTCTTTTTTTTTCTTCTTTTTCACAGTATCACTTGGAAACAATGCACCCCTTTAAAACAGGCAAAAAAGAACTCCTTTGGAGAATCGCCCTTCTCCACAAAAGTTAAATAAATTGGCCTCCAGCCCTAAACCAAGAAATTCTTCGTTTCAGGTTTGTAAAAAAAAAAGACAAATAAGTTCAATATGTTGATTTTTTTAAACCCACCCCCCAAAACCCACCCTTTCCATGTTATATGTGCCTTCGAGAAAGGCAAGGAAAGACCCTTTACAAAATAGTTAACCTGGTTAACAGATTCTGTTGTAAAAACAAGGACCACAACAATGCCAAAACCTATCCACAAATCTTTTGGAGAAGAGAGCTTTATGCCTGGAATGGCTGGAATAAGAAAAGTGGGGCTTAAACTTTTTAATGCTCGCATTATGAGGATCGTAAAAAGAACAAGCAATTGAAAGCAGATGAGCTTCTTGCAAACTTTAATGCCAACAGTTTCCCCACCCAGAGTGCCCCTCCCTTGCGCCTTATGGTTGCATTGGGTAACTTTAGGCTGCCTTCCCGAATTAAATTAAGGACAAAAAATCAAATTCTCTAACTTACCTAGGAAGAGGGTGAAAAGCACAGACATTCCGCCTCTGTGTGTGTGTGACAGTCCTTTCTTTCTTTCTTTCTTTCCTTCCTTCCTTCCTTCCTTCCTTCCTTCCTTCCTTCCCTTCTTCTTCTTCTTCTTCTTCTTCTTCTTCTTCTTCTTCTTCTTCTTCT